CGGGTCCTAATACGGTGGATAGCAGTAATTCACTCCACATAAGTATGTAGTCACATAAACACATACAAATTTCCTTCCTAGATAATGACCGTCCCGTGGTGTTACCAGAGTTCCGATTAGAAGTAATAGTGATCAAGTGCTCTTCTACCAAGACTTCTAGAAACCCGTAGACCCAATCAATATCTTAGGAAGTAAATCTCATACCCATATAATCACATAAGTATATTATCACATAGCATACCATACCATACGTACTAATGTCTCTATTAAGCGAGACAAACCCATTGCGGTAATAACCACTTTTCACATACTCAAAGTATTCAAACCCGGTACGCTCTGATACCAAGTTGTAACGCCCCGAAATAATTATAATAAACCAACCGTAACGATAATTAAATAACAACATAAATTAGAGTATGATATCTTTCCTTTTCATGAAATCCAAATGTACAAAAGAGGTGGCACATGCGGATATACATTCATAGTCCTAACTCTAAATCTATAGCATGTGTCAATAACAAAATAAGAAGTAGAAGTTAAACAGGTAATGGAAATGCCCTGAAGGCTACAACTTTTTAAGATAATGCTTGGTTCTATCAAAAGTGAGTCTTAAGCTCAATACATATAAAACTCTAGGCTTGTACAAACATTAAATACAAAATAACAAAATTGAGCTATTTTAGCCATAAAATAGACTATTTTAGCCACAACAAACAAAACATCACATCTAACATATAATCATTACACTCTTCTCTCACAAAAAAAGTCAAAAAGCTAAAAAGCCCTTCCTAAACCAAACTTTTTATCCCAGGCTAAAATAGCCAAAAAATCCAAAATATCAAAAAGTCAACTCACTTCCCAAACGGAGGCTATATATATTATAGCCAACTGATATTTTAATGATAAACACTAAGGCGCCGTTTGGTAATACTTATGTTTTCAATTTTCAGTTTATATTTACAAAAATTTAAAAAATTCAAATAAAAACTTGTTTGGTAAATTTTTAATTTATAAATCAGTGGTCTCAGTTTATAAATTTGGCCAAAAAATGTAAACTCAAAAAATGTGTTTCCGTTTTGAGTTTTGAGTTTTTTTTACCACCCAACGCTAGCCACCACCCGCCACCGTTTTCCACCACCGTCTTCCGCCACCACCACCCACCCTCTACCACCACCTGCCACCACCACTCACCACCCACCTGCTACTACCAGCCACCACCCGCCACCACCATCCACCAGCCACCACAGTATAGATATAGATAGATATTAGATAGATATATCTTTTTATTTTTATTTTTATTTTTGTGTGGTTTCTATTCGGGTATTTTTTTCCAATTTATTTAAATTATTTATAATGATTGAAACTTAATTAAATTGATACAATAAAATTCGCGTGCATATGTTGGAATCACTATTTAGAAATTAATAATAAAATATATATAAATGACCATAAATAACATTTCTCATAATTATTAAATTAACAAAGGGGAAGGAGTTGCTTCAGATGAAAATTCTTGAACATGCCTCAAGACAAAGAAAATGTATAGACCAGAAAAAAGGAATCCAGAGACACAAAAGCAACTCAAAACTTTAAAATGTCAAAAAGGTAGTGATTCTCTTTTAAGATCAAGAAACCCAAAAGAAACCTCCTATTTGGACAACCCTTCCCATGATCATCCATCATTAATATCTATATAATACAAGAGATGTAGAGATATATATGTCCAGTTCACCTAAGTTCTTCACAATTCATTTTCCTATATCCCAAACGAGAAGATGAGTACTCACACAATTACCAAGGCCACTGCAGCTAACGTCGCCGCCGCCACCACTACCACCCACCACCCGCCACCGTCACCCACCCATCCACCCGCCACCACCCGCTACCCACCACCCACCGTCACCACTTTCCACCACCGTCCTCCGCCGCCACTTGCCATTTCTCACTCTATTTTATATTTTTAAAATTTTTTAAATATTTTGTCAATTACCAAACGCGTTTGTAGTTTATGTTTTTCTAAAAATAAACAAAAACCAGTTTATAAAATTTTTATAAATATAAACTGAATACGTAAACGTTACCAAACAGACCCTAAAGAATTTCCAAGATTTCATCCTAAAATTTTTAATTTTTGTTATTTTAAAAAATCCTATTGACTAACACATCAGATTAATTACATAAAATTAATATTATGTTGTTATACCTTTATCATTCTTTTCTAAAACAAAAATATTATTATAATTATGCCATCTTGCCTGCAAATAATAATTATTTTATAATAAGAAAATTTTCAATTTTCTCTGTCTCCAACCTACTATCTTTTTCACCCGAAAACCCTAACTACCGTATATCTTTTTTCACGTCATTCCCAACTTTCTCACCTTATAAAGGTCAAGTTCATGCAACTCATTATTTTTAATCTCTTTTTCGAAGATTATTAAAGGTTGATTTATGTTTAATATTTTATGTCGCATATGTGCGCATTCTTTAAACAATATTTTTCATCATTTCTCTTTTTACTCTGTCTTACCTTTTTTTCTTCTTCTTCTTCTTTTTTTATTTATTTTTTATTTTTTTAACTTCCAACCAAATTTTGTATTTTATTGTTTTTCATATTTCTTACATCAAAGAAGTTTCAAACTTAATTGGTATGGATTAACATGTTTTATAATTTTTTGTGGATATTTACTTTTATTTAGTTGTCTTTTAGACAGCTAAATAGTTTTTAAATGTAAAACAATATTATTAAGTCAGTTATAGATTATATACGAAATGGAAAATGTCAATATTATATTATTAAGCATTTTTTTTAAACTTTTTAGTTCATGTGCATAAATTTGGTGCTAAAATTTAATTTTTGTTATTTTTAAAATATTTATAAAAAAAATATATTTGCTAACTTAGCATATTAATTATTAAAAAATAATGAATATTTTCTACCACCCTTTTCCAAAACAAAATTGTTACCATAATTATACCATCTTTTCTTGCAAATAATAATTATCCCATAAATTTTTTTTTTAAAAAAAACAATTTTCTTCTTATTCACTGTTCCACCCATTCTCTTTCTTACCCAAAATTCGAAATTGCCACCATAAACATAGAACCTCAAAAAGAGATTTTACAAAAGAACATATTTTAATACAATCATATTTTATTTTTTGATTTTTCAATTCTATTTTATTTTTCTACGTAGTTACAAGTGAATGGATTAATGAAAAATAATATTTTATCTAAGACACTCTAAGTGCTTTAAAATATTAATCTAAATCTTTTAAATTTTTTTTATTCTTTAAAATTTTATTTATATTTAAGATACATCTCATTCTAAATTTTAAAATCTTTAAATAAAATTTTCAAAATAAAATTTTAGTTATCAAATTTGAAATTTTGAAAAATCAAAAATTTTGTTGAGATTCACAAAAAAATGTCGAAGGATAAAAAATAATTGATGATTTGTTGTAGATTGGATGAATTGACATAAGACAAACTAAGCTACTATTACAAAACTCTAAAGACAAATTATTTATATTTTACCTTAAAGTAATTTTTGTATTTATCTTATACTTTGCTTTGTATATTTATCAATTATGTAATAACACATGTTTTTGTTATTTAATATTTAAGTTGGACCATTAATAATAAGACAACCAAAAAAAATTCAAGTAGTTGTCACGAAGATAGCTTATTTGACAATTTTTTTTAAAAATAATTTTTAGTTTATTATGTAAAACCGTGCATATGTACATAAATAAATATAAATTATTAGTATTGTGGTGGTGTTTGATAACATAATTTAGCAGATAAAATTGAATATATTAAATGAAAATTAATTAAACCTGTTTGATAATTATAATTGATATGACATAAAAATTTAAATACCTCTTAAAATGTAGGATTAAAATTAAGAAAAATTTAAGTGATATGAAACTTATTTAATTCTGACTAAATTATAATATATTAAATATAAGTATTGATACACTATTATAAACTTATCACCACCATCACTACTATCACACTACAACATATAATGATTTTAGAGACTAAATGTTTTGGTAAATTGAAAATTCTATTGTAAAAGACATTTAGGGCTCAATTTCCATTGTCACGAGGATAACTGCTAAAAGATCGTTCTGAAAAGTAAAAAATAAGACTTTTAGCAACAAAATTTTGAGAATGTCACTAATAAATAGACTTTTAGGGACAAAATACTTTAGTCTCAAAATGGTTTATTTTTTAAGACAAAAAATTTGGTCACAAAAGGATAATAATTCATCACTAATGTCTAATTTTCATTGCTAAAAATATAATAACGACACTTTTTATAACAAAAATATTTGGTGCCAAAAAAATAATTTTGTTCCTAAATTTTAGTCTCCAAATTCTTAATTTTTGTAATGTCATTATTTTCATTACCATTGTCATTATTACTATAAACACCTTTATCACTTCTCTATGGCCACCACACCACCACCCAAGCATCACTAATAAATTTATTTTGTTTTATTTTTTAATTGAGATTTTTATATTTTATTTTATTTTACTAAATACAATTCATAATGAATCAAATGCTTAACAGATAAATCTGTCATTTTATAACTTAATCTCATAAGATTTCAATCCCATCATTTCTATCTTACCTTCCTTAGAACAAAATAATTCGACATATATAAAATTCATAAATCAGTGAGACTTTCAATCCAGTTTACAAATTCTCAATCAAACAATCCTTCCAAACAACCACCCGTTACTGTATAGTATAAACTTGGCCCAATCCTTAGCTGACCTGGGATTTGTATGCTCCTAAAACATAAAATGGTTGTGGTCCTTAAATATACTTTTCTTAATAATTTTTGTAGTATTGTTCGCGAATGACAGGTAAGATTGATTGGGACAAAACACAATTTTATAGAGAGAATCTAGTCCCTTGGTGCCTATATTAAACAAAACACAATTATACTTACCCTTGGTGCCTATATAACAGAGGCGAAACAAACAAAAAAAACCATACCAAACATACCCTCTGGCTTCTCTCTCTCTCTCTCTCTCTCTCTCTCTCTCTTTGTTTCCTTCACCACATCTTCTTCCACAACAGTCCAAACATGGTGATGGTTGAAACTAGTCTCTCAAAATCCATGAATGCTAGGACCATCGGCTCAGGCGATGAGACCGTGGTTCTGGCACATGGATACGGAGGAGACCAATCTATGTGGGACAAAATTGTACCATACTTAGCCCGGCAATACCGAGTTGTGGTCTTCGACTGGAGCTTCTCTGGGGCTGTGAATGATCCAAACCTCTTTGATCCTGTCAAATACTCTACTTTTGATGCTTTTGCTGATGACTTGATCTCTCTCTTGGAGGAGATGAACTTGAAATCATCAGTTTTTGTTGGCCACTCCATGTCTGGTATGATTGGATGTATTGCTTCCATTAAAAGGCCAGAGCTCTTCAAGAGGCTCATGCTTGTTGCAGCGTCACCCAGGTATATAAACACACACACACATGACATATATTGACTCTCACCCTGGTAGATTAGATGTTTGGCAATCCACATATGCATATATTTGATAGGAAAAGTTCTTTGTTTTCATAATCCCATCATTTTCTTGTTCAGTTCTTCTACTTTTTACAGAAATCAATCAGATAATCAGATGATTGCGTCCGATTTCATAATTAATTTATATAATGTTAGGTATTTTATTTTATTTTTATTTATTTGGAGATGTTGTCTATCTATATAAACTCAAAGGGGATAGTTGATTGAGAAACTGAGCCGTGATAATAAAAAGTAATTATGAGTTTAAAATTTCGTCGGCTAATATTATTTTTTAGTCTAAAAATTAAAAATTATTAAAAAAATTAAAAAATAAACAATTTATATTAAAAAGTTAAAAATTCTGTTATCTTTTTATTTTTTTGTACATTTTTTAGTAAAAAAATCAAAAAATCATCTTAAATATATATGTTTTTAATCATATTTTAACTAAAAAATTAAAAAATTATCAAAAAAAACTTGTTCCAAAATGAGGCATAAATATCATAAAGGGCATGATTTTTTGGATCCATCTCAACGTCGGTATCAAGTAATTATTCCATATATATAGAACGGTGAGCTGCATGTATCCGAGATTTATTGAGGCCAAATCTCAAGTACCCTTGGGGGTGTTTGTTTGGGGATTAGAGCTAGGGATGCGACTCTATGTCTATTACATATGACAGTTTGATATTTGGTTTAAAAATATAAGTTAGATTAATAGTTATGGATTATCAATTTCTTATTTGTGAAATTATTGTATTTCGTGGGGTTTGGGATAAAAATGGTGGGATAACCCCTCCTTTGGATTAAAAAGTTAAAATGACATTTTTGACCCTCATTTTTTGCCCTCAATTTATTATTATTATTTTTAATTATACTTAGTAAAGTAAAATAAAATTTAAAAATCTCAACTAAAAATTAATAAATTAAGAGTCCAATGGATTATAATCTTCCTTTTAAAAGTTCATTTTATTTAATTAAAAATAAAATTAAAAGTTCAATTTATTTAAAAGTCCAAATTAAAATAAAATTAAAAAATCTCAACTAAAAATTAAAATAAATTTATATAATTTTTATTGATATTCTATTTATTTAATTTTTTAAAAGTTTTAGTAAAAAAATTAAATAAAATATGATACATATCGGATTCAATAGAATAGTCAAATCCAAACATCTAATTTAATGACTAAACAAATATAAGATTTATTTCATTTGTGGTGTTACTATATTTTTTATGTTAATTCTTGTACATACTGAACTTGAAAAATATTGGTAAGTGTGAGTAGTTGGGCAAATTTAGACATTTGTTTATCACAAAATGTTGATGTGTCATAATTATTTCTTTTAATAACATTTTGTTTATTATTTTTTGTGAACAAAATATGATAATAAGGTCATCTAATATCATATATATGTATGAAAAATATATATATATATATATATATGTGAGAACTTACATATAGGTTTTAATAGATAAATTTATTATCCAATAAGTCCTATGAAAATTAATGATATTTTGCCGTAAACACTATCAAAAAAGTTACTAATTATTAATAATTAGCGACAGTTTGAAAAAAATTTCACAAAAAATGTCACTAATTATAAGTTTTAACGACAATTATTCGTCACAGAAAAACATTACTAATTATAAGTTTTAATGACAACTTATAAAAACTGTGACAAAAAAAGTCACTAATTGTCAATTTTTAACGACATGTGTAAAAAATCGTCACGAAAAATTATTTTTAGCGACATTTTTACTGTGACTTATTTTCAATAGAATTTTATAGGAATTAAATCAAACTATTAAAACCTATTGATAGTTTACCTATATATATATATATATATATATTTTATGTATGTGTGTTCATAGTTGGATAATTGCATGTTTACTTGTGGTGTTATATGTTCCCTTTTTGGACCATCTTTCCCCATGCCCTTCTCTTTCTTTTTTATTGTTTATTTATTTTGCTGAGAAATATTCCCTGATTGTATTCAAAATCTTTGTCATTTGTTTTCAGAATAATAACATAATCTAGTATTTGATTCACTACAATGATTTTAGACAAAATGTAATGGTGATTAGTTTTTAGTCTCATTGTTAGATTGATGGATAATAATTCTATTTTCAATAGAATTTTTTTTACATAATCAAATATGAGAATAAATATTTAATAAAATAATTATTTTGTTTGTTTCTCTTTTCAACAAATCAAATATTATGCTTCAGATCACTAAAGGTATGTATTTGTTTACGTATGTCCCTATGGACAGAGTTTACAACATGTGATAAGATGTACCTCATTTATTATATAGTCTAAATCGAGCATATGAAAGATAAAAAAAGATGGGATGGCATATCGGTTCCTTTGTCTTATACCATTGTAATTTTATCACCCAAATGCATCACAATTTCATTTAGAGACATCTGACATTTGAAATACTTTAGACATTTGACATAATTACATTACAACACATTAGGTATTTTGTCTCATCTTATTTTAACTAATTATATTTACAGATTGTTTGAGGCTAGGGAAATTAATTTAAGAAGGAGAGAATGTTGTTGGAATATATATTTGGCAAAGTAATTCAGAAAATAAAAGTACATTTTTTATGTATTTTTACTGGACAAAATACCTTTTAGTGTTGGAGTTGCCCTTAACATGATGAAGTTACCCTTGAAAACCCCAACCTTTAATTTGGAAGAAGAAGTTCTCAATTTCATGTAGTTAAATGTTCATAAACAGATTTTTTATTAGAATTTTTTTTTTTGGTTATGGTTAAACACAAAATAATAGATCCTTTATTTATTAATGTGGGTCTTATTATCTTTTACTAGTGACAAGAAATTAATAATAATAATAATAATCTAAAGTAATTATAACACCTAAAGCAAATATTAGGTATAAAAGTGAAACCATGAAATTATATCACCCACCAGTAATAAATTTCATTTTGGGATAAAGGAATTATAGGATTGGGATTAATGAAAAACAAATGGTGTCCATTAACTGATCCCATTTGCCTTTTTCAACTATGGCTTTTTTCTATTGATTTTTTCTGATTGTATTCATTGTACTTGTGTTTTACATCAATAAAAAAAAATTTCTTGATAAAAAAAATAAAAAAATAAAAAACACCTCACCCCATTTGTAATTTTTTATTATTTGATAATACCACATAAAATTATACCACTATTACACTTAGGCCCTGTTTGGAAAATAGAGTTTTTAGTTAAATTTCTTTAAAAATCATTATAAATTATCAAATTATTCTTTTTATTTTTTCATATTTCTTTATACAAAGTCAAAAAATTAATAAAAAACTTAATTTCCAAACTAGCCCTTAATATTTATCCCACAATTCATGATTTTTTTTGATTAAAAAATTTGTTAGTTTGACTTCAAATTCAATGAACGGTTAATTTTTTTTGATAAACACAAAATAATAGATCCTTTATTTATTAATGTGGGTCTTATTATCTTTTACTAGTGACAAGAAATTAATAATAATAATAATAATCTAAAGTAATTATAACACCTAAAGCAAATATTAGGTATAAAAGTGAAACCATGAAATTATATCACCCACCAGTAATAAATTTCATTTTGGGATAAAGGAATTATAGGATTGGGATTAATGAAAAACAAATGGTGTCCATTAACTGATCCCATTTGCCTTTTTCAACTATGGCTTTTTTCTATTGATTTTTTCTGATTGTATTCATTGTACTTGTGTTTTACATCAATAAAAAAAAAAATTTCTTGATAAAAAAAATAAAAAAATAAAAAAATAAAAAACACCTCACCCCATTTGTAATTTTTTATTATTTGATAATACCACATAAAATTATACCACTGTTATACTTAGGCCTTGTTTGGAAAATAGAGTTTTTAGTTAAATTTCTTTAAAAATCATTATAAATTATCAAATTATTCTTTTTATTTTTTCATATTTCTTTATACAAAGTCAAAAAATTAATAAAAAACTTAATTTCCAAACTAGCCCTTAATATTTGTCCCACAATTCATTATTTTTTTTATTAAAAAATTTGTTAGTTTGACTTCAAATTCAATGTACTACAAGTCAATTGTCTTGTACTGTATTGTCAATTTAGCTGAGTCTTTTCACGTGTAAAGTTCTTTTTTGTTCTAGATTGCCATGCTTTGAAGATTTAACCCATTATCTCAAAAAATTGACTTGACTGGATCAAAATCTATAGTAGGTAATAATTACAACTTTATGTAGCAAGTTTTCTTCATTTGTAGTGTTACTATATTTTTTAAGTTAATTCTTGTACATACTGAACTTGAAAAATATTGGTAAGTGCGAGTAGTTGGGCAAATTTAGACATTTGTTTATCACAAAATGTTGATGTGTCATAATTATTTCTTTTAATAACATTTTGTTTATTATTTTTTGTGATACACTTTTATATTTGTTAAATATTAATAACATTCATTTGATACCCTTATATCTAATAAGTGTGTTAGTATCATTGCGCTTTAAACAAAATATGATAAAAAGGGCATCTAATATCATTATTGCTCCACACATAGATTTGTTGGCAATAAATTAATTTTGCAAGGGTGGGCCTATTGTAATTGCACATAGACGATAAAAAATGGTTTATTTGTAAAATTTATTTATTTATTTATTTATTTTTTCTTCTCACATATAGGTACATAAATTTGGAAGATTATGAAGGGGGATTTGAAAGCTCAGATGTTGAGCAACTCTTGTCAAGCATTGAATCCAACTTCCACCAATGGGCTTCAAGCTTTGCTTCTCGTGTTGTTGATCCAAATGACCCTACCACTGTTGATAAGTTCAAAAACTCATTGCAAAGAATGAGCCCCGAAGCTGCACTCTCCACAGCCAAACTCATCTTCCACAGTGACCAAAGAGACATGCTTGAAAAGGTTATGATCCCATGCACCATCATCCAGACCACCAATGATCTTGCCGTCCCCACCTCCGTCGGATACTTCATGCAAAAGAAGATCAAGGCCAAATCAACGGTGGAGATCATCGACACAAATGGCCATTTTCCTCAGCTAACTGCACATCTTCAATTCCTGGAGGTGTTGGGTGGAGTTCTTGGTTTTGAGCTTTGATTCGATTAAGTATTGAAGAGGGTGTTTTTAGCTTTCTCCTAAATAAAAGCCAATTTGGTCAAAGTCTTTGTATTCATAATTCCTGACCTATTGGGATGGTGATGGGAAATGGGTGTTGTCTGGGATGGTTTTGTGGTTGTTATAGGTTTGAGTTGTAGTCTTCTAGTTAATATGTAGATGTAAAACTTCTCTCATCACTAAAGGTTTGAAGAGGGTTGGATGAAAACAGTTATATATATATTTGTGTGTGTGAAAGACTGTTTCCGTAATTTGAATATGTATCCCAAACTGCAATTAAACAACTTTTCCATAGTTAATAATTAGATGTAACAAAGCTATTTTGGATTGTAAATATGGAACTTTGTGGATTGAAATTACTAGTTTTGGGATGAATAATTGGATGCTTAAAGTGTTTATTTGATTGGATTATACAACTTCATCTCCTATTCCCCCTGCTTAGATATCTGGGTGTTTGTTTGTTTGTTTGTTTGTTTTTTTCTTTTCTTTTTTTTGGGTATGTATATTAGTAATATTAGAGATTAATAACTGATACAGAAAAAAAAAAATAAATTAAGAAAAGTTGTGTGATTCAAACTTAACTCTTATATAATAGAGTCCACACTAATTCAAATAAATTTATATCGCATATTACGTTTTTTGGTATTTTTCAGTATCTAAATTCCTGTTCCCTTTACTCTACGCCTAGTGAAAAGGCCCCAAATTACAACAAAAGAAGGGGAGGGGGAATGTGTGTAGACAATTTGGGACCTCAAATTTTGAAAATTAACTCTCTTTTTTTTTTTTTTCTCTTTTTTCTTTTCTTTCTCACTAGATTTAAAATTTAAACACAATTCAAATATGTAACTTGAAAAAATTATTCAAAAAAGAGCAAAAAAATTAATGTGTAATATAGATTTAAACTTGGTACTATGGTATTGTGTGAAGCACGGATGAAATTTTTATTTTGTTTGGAACCAGGAAAAAAGGGCTATGTGGCGAAGCACGGATGAAATTGATCCATTAATTTCAATTTCTGAACACTTCTTTAAAATAACGTCCATTTTGTAGCCTTATGTTGTACTCTATAATGGGCCAACATATATTTTGTAGCCAAGCCCAGTCTACCGAGCCTTTGCCTGTTCCCAGCAATTACTAATTATCCAGGAATTCTATTTAAATTCAAAATATATTTTGATACGTTCAATTTAAATTTATAAATTTTAATTGCTAATATATGTTAATATGAATTTATTAATAAAGATAATACATACTAAATTCCAAAATAATTTTTTTTCTTCTCATGGTACACTCTAATCAGTTATTCCTACTCAAATCTTTGTATCTTTTTCCCCAAGATATCAGAATTATTTCTTCTTCTTCTTCTTCTTCTTCTTCTTTATCCTCCCTCCAAAACTCCAATCCACCCTACCAAAACTCATCATCATCATCAATATCATCGTTTTTTATTATTTTGAAATTCTAAACCCTTAAAGAAAGTTTGAATAAAATTAAATAATGGATAAAAGTAATAATTAAAATAATTTTTTGAAGCAACTCATCAAAAAGGAGGTAAACATTCAGATAAAGGGGTTTCACAATTTTTGTAGAGCACCATCAATTATTTTCTATATCGTTTTTTGGACAAAAATTAAAAGGCCCACTAATTAAATTAACAATAACATATTATTAGAGTTGTTCTTATTTTGTTATTTAAATAATACATTATTTGAGAACTACTCTTTCTTGTTAGTGTCTAATACTTATGTACTTATAAGTTTGATTTTTATTTTTTCAGGAGCATTCTTGTGGATAATTTATAATGTAAAAGTGTTTTTTTTTTTATATTGAAAAGTTTTATAATACTTATGTAAAAGTTTGGTTTTTTTTTTATTTTTTTTATTTTTATTTTTTTTATAATGTTTATGTGCTTATAGTTTGTTGTGTTTTTTTTTTTTTTGAGAATTATTTTCTGTATTGAAAAGATTTGAAATAATTTAATTTTTTTAGTTTGTTTATTATTTATTATTTGGGTTTACCGTGAGGGTAATTTGGGGAAAATAATAGTGTGTAATGAGAGTAAAATAAAATTTCAAATAATTAAATAGAGTGTACTTAAAAATTTGGAGTACTTAATGATTTTTTAAGTGTAAATAGAATCCCCTTAATTGTTAAGAGCCTTAATCGGTGATAAATCCAATTTGAGTGTATAAGACATTAAGTGGATATTTTTTTGTTGATGAGAGATGCACACTTTATGAAATAGTTTGATAAGAAGAAGTCTAGAAGAACATTTTGTTTTCAATTTTATCTTTTGACTTTTTTTTATCTGTTTGACTTTTCGTTGACTATCTGTTGAATTTTTTTTTTTATATTTTCAAATTCCTATCTGTTTAAATTTTTTATCTGTTAATTTTTTTTATCTGTTCAAATTTTTTATTTGTTGAAATTTCTATATGTTTAATTTTTTTTATCTATTCAAATTTTTTATCTATTGAAATTTTCTACCTGTTCGTTTTTTATCTATTCAAACAATTGATCACTAGCACCATTATCCTCCTCATCGAGTCCACTAAACCTTATCTGTTCAAATCTATATATATTTTTCCTATATGTTCAGATCTCTCCTCTCTCTCCCTATCTATTGCAATGTGCTTCTTTTTCACCATTACAAAAAAAAAAAAAAAAAAATCAAACATATGTTCAAATCTCTTCTCTCTCTCTCTGTTACAATCTGCTTCTTTATCATCATCATCATCAAAAACAACAAATCATATTTGTTCATCAATAGCAACACAATCACCAAATCCTATCTATTCATCATCATCATCATCATCAAAAAATAAATAAATAAATAAATAAACATATTTGTATGTGCCTCTTCCAAATACCTCTTCGACTACTTGGCCACACTCTTCGACCTCTTGATCATCAAATTGGACATCCTTAGGTTCAAGCTTAAATGCATGTTTTACTCAAGGATGGTTTGAGGTGACTGTCTCAAGGACATTCCTCGATAGCCAAAAAAAAAAAAAAAAAACCTAAATAGGAGCTGCAAAATGGTACACACTGTCAAATGGCAATATTTATTGCCATCGTAATAAGAGCTTCTTCTTGGTGAACCTGTTGGAATCCTTTCTCTCTACCTATCTGTTGAGCCACATCTATCCAATGCAATTACAGATCTCATCAACAACATTCATTATCATCAATAACAACAACAACAATAAATCAATCAATCAATAACAATAAAAATAAATAAATAAAATAAAATAAAAAGAGCAGGAGAGAGGATTCATTTGTTCAAAAAAAGAAAAAAATCACTTTGCTTGGTTTGAGTTTTCTAAAAGGCAGTGGCTTTGGTCTAGTCCAAGATCGGACTGGACCGTGCTGTTGGGCCTGTGGGGGCCCACCACGGATCCCGTTTTGATAATCCGAACTGTTCAATGTGTAGAATTCGTTGAGTACTATGTGCCTGTAAAAAATCACGTTGATCGGATATCGATAGCTATGTGAACAAAACAGTTTTTTATCAACCGTTAATTGTTTCACCGTCCATTTTTTTATACAAAACTGATTTGATCACATAGGTATTGATATCCGATCAACGTGATTTTTTACAGGCACGTAGTACTCGACGAGTTCTACACATTGACGGTTCGGATTATCAAAACGGGCCAAAAAATAAGCCTCATGGGCCGAACTGGACGGGTCCAGTCTTCATCTCAACTTGAGACAAGCTGGACCCTTTCTAAAAATACTTTTAAAAAAATTCTACTTTCTTGTTTTTTGTATTTTTTTATTTTTATTGATTTTTTTAATATTTTAAGTAATTTTTAAAATTTTTAAACACACCTAACATAAATACACTTAAAAAAATATAATTTTTATGAAAAAAAAATCTTTAAAATTTCACTAAATACCAAAAATATAATTAAAAAAATGAAAATTCAGTACATTTTTCATATTTTGTGTATTTCTTAATTTTTTAAAATATTTTTTTACAAATATTTTTACTTTTTAGACACATCTAAGTAAAGATGCATCTAAAAAGTAAAAAAAAAAAAATACTTAAAATTTTAAAAATATTTATTAAAAACAAAAAAAACACGAAAAACAAAAAAAACTCAATTTTTAAAAAACTTAATTCAAAAAACCCAAACCAAACACACTATAGAACTCTAATCTAAGATGCAAAAGAGAGAGGGTTTGTGTTGCGGTGATGGTTGGATAAGGAAGAGAAGAGAGCAGATCTGGATCAAATCTTAGATCTTGACATGGTTAGGCCCACAAAGGTCATAGCCCACTATGAACAACCCAAGCCCATCACTTAGAGCCCAATACATAACCCAACTGATGAGATCCTGAACAGCTGGAAGCCAACATGGCACGAAGAACCAATAATATTCGGACATGTGGCAGGTAAAGGACAAGCCACATCAGCAGAAAAAGATCTGCAAAGTTATTGCCACTGCACATCGCCATTAAATGCAGTCTATCACAGCATTTATTACGACGACACCTCTCCGTCGGAACAGCACCCTCTCACCCTGAACAAGGTAAGCTACAGCATAGACTTTCGGCCAAGGTGGCAGGTCGGAAGGGACGGCGAAATGATTACCAAAGGATATAAGTAGACGTTGAAGACAAGAAGAAGGTCAAGTTTCTATCTCCAATTCAAACCTCTGCATTACACTTCTCTCTCTCTAACTTGCTCGTCGGAGGGTTCACTGAGGGACCCCCCGTTTCCCTATTGAACTTGTGTACAGGTTCTCTGGTGGGCTCAAACACTCAGTTACCGGTTGAAGAAGCATGGATTAGTCTGACCCATTCCACCTGGGACCCGTTGTGTAGTAACTGTATCATCAGTTGGCGCCGTCTGTGGGAAAGCTTTGCTCCTCGCGCCAATTGTGTTCACTGTCGCCGGAGACCCTGTTCCAATAACCCTTTCTCGCTACCCATCGAAGTGTATGGTCACGACTAGATCCATGGCTTCTCACCAAAATGTTGCCGGCCACCAAGCCAACCCCCCCAATCCAAACAACCCACCACAATATTTCATCGAGCTTACCAACAGCATTAACCGCATGGTCGAGCAAAACCAAGCCCTGATCAATGTCCTACTCCAAAGAAACCTTCCTATGCCCCCTCCACCACCTCCCGATATTCCCTCCCAACTGCGAACAAGCCCCGAGCCATACTATCCCGCAGCCTAATTCGCCCAACAGAGAAGGCTTGCAACCACCTCCTCCAGGTAAAAACCTGCCACCCCGAGGCCCACAACCATCGATCCCGACACCAATCCTTGAAGGAGAGGCCAATAGCGTCTAGCCCCCGTTGCCCTCCGGAGGTGACCACATCCCTCTTTGGGACGCGGAAC